AAAAAAAAAAAAACGAGTTGGAGTTGTGAATTTGGATTATCGTGACTCGCATATAACCGAGCGAGTTAACTCTTCTTACCTTCGTTCCACGTAAAGCATCAAGTCGCACACGCGCAAGAATATTACGGGGGCCCAAAAGAATGAAGTCCACGGAATTAGGAGAAGGGGCAAAAACGCAAAGTGTGGGTGCCCTTCGATATGCATTGCCACTCCATGCCCAATCTAACGATCAAACCTTTAAGTTAAAAACCGACAACTTCATAGCAAGAAATGTTTTAAGTTGCACTTGTCATTTAGCACGACTGGTCGATTCTAGTTTTGGAACAAAATCTACGCTTGTTACATACCTCGTGTGCTAAAGTGGTAGCTAATTCCTCGTCTGTATTAGCTAAGTAAACCCAACAGTCATCCATAGCTATCTTTCCGTTTCCACAATAAAATGCATTGTTGTGGTCTGAGTTTGTCACCGTCAAATCCCAAACCATCCTTTCCAAATGCTCCGTATTGAACCCCACGCCCCAAAGTTTCCTCGGCTTATCAACAAGTTCCCGGCTTTCGTTCTCACCATATCCCGGTACAACCACCGGTTCAGTTTTCCCTATCGACATGCATGATATACCGATAAAAATTGGAATTTAGTAAATTAGAATATGCAAAGATTTACTAGTCTCTTGGACATTTGAAAATTTAAGTCAAATTGATTAAATAGTCCGGTGATTTCGTTGATTTTACAAAACAACCCTTTAACTAAAAAAATCCCGAATTTTAGTCCTTCCACCGAGAAAAGCCGGCCAATCTGACCGGCTTGTTGAGTTTGATATGTTAGTCGGCTGCCCTATGTACGGTGACACTGAATCCAACTCAACAACCTGTCACATTAACATGGTGTAACACAAAATTTCGTTTTATTGATTTTATAAACACGAGAAATTCGTACAAATTATTTTAAATGGATCAAATGAAATATAGTGGATTACAAATCTCTATTATTCCTCTGATTAATTTCTTCAAGAACAATCTTCAAATGGATTTGAGACTTTTGGAGACGAATCCTCAGTTTGATCCCCGCCGGTCTTGAATATGGATTTAAATAACGTTTCTTCGAGGGCTTGATAACTTGATCTCGAATCGAACGTCGTGATTTTCCAAGAACGTGAAGAACACGAATCCTTGGTCTTCGCCGCAAAGTTGATTTTGATCTTCTCTACGCCGGTCTTGACTTGAATAACGTAATTCGGAGGCTTGTCAGCTTGTTTCCGGATTAAACGTCGATTTTGGGCTTGAATGCGCTTGAATCTTCCTTCGGGTCTTCAAGAACGCCTTTGAATCTTCAAAACACTTGAACTTTAATAACGCAATTCGGAGGCTTGGCAGCTTGTTTCCGGATTGAACGTCGGTTTTGGGCTTGAACGTACTTGAATCTTCCTTCGAATCTTCAAGAACGCCTTTGGATCTTCAAGAACACTTGAATTTTGTGGAGAGAATTCTCTAGAGCTCTTGAACTTGGAACTTGAATATGAATTGTCCTTTTTTCACCTTAGGGAGAGCCCTATTTATAGGTGTTAGGAGAGAGAATCTTGGAAAAGAAGACTTCAATTTGATTGGTCCATAATTTCCAATATTTATCTCTTAATAATTATTTAAAGAGATAATTAGGAGAGAGAGTCTTGAAAAAGAAGACTTCAATCTGATTGGTCCATATTTTCCAATATTTATCTCTTAATAATTATTAAAATAAATAAATATTTATTTTACTCTCCAAGAAAATGACATGTGGCATTCTTTAATTGGCCTTCAAAATATGCATGTGGCATTCTTTAATTGGCCAACAATATATAACAAATAATCAATTAATTAACTATTTAATTTAGGAATTAAAATTTGATTAATTTCCCAAATAAAATAGAAAATTATTAAATTGATTATGACATGGAATTGGACACTTGTAGCCATTTTATTGGCTCAAAATTTAATTGTCTACAAATGCCCCCTCGAGACTTGTTCACGGACAACGTGTCTTGGAGTGAATAAGTCACGACTTTATTTGGTTTGGATTTTGAGCATCTGATATGGACTTGCAAAATTTAATAGAGCCCAATATTCCTTAATGGATTATTTAGTATCTCAAATGACCCATTATTTCTCTCTTTTAGTCCAATTTGGA